AGTCGCGTGGTGGCTTAATACCCTGACTTAATACCCTGCGTACAGTGGAGCCAACCAGCGTTGAGACATACATACTATATAGGTTGTTATTTTACTTTACTTTTCAAACAAGTATAAGACTGAATATTCTTAATATTCTCTAAAAGGGTACTTGGCTTGAATACACGTTGGCAATAATGGAAGTAGATATCTGTTGACGTTTAGACGTGTCATACTTTAAGCAACCCTTCCGTAACATGAACTTTAAGTCAATTACTACCTTACCCTACTCAGGCAGAATTGTCGTCGCGTCTGAACTTATTTGCTTCCTCTCAGCCTTTGATACCATCTGACAGTTTGACGCAAATCGATTACTGTACAACAAAATAGACCCGATTCTGCTAACCTATTTACGTGCAAGGCTGAGAGGAAAAAAATGACATAGCAGCGATCACTTGGAAAATATAAATTAATTTACAAATTATAAATGAAAAAGAATAACACGATATTTTGTTAAAGGTTTTTGTACAATTGAATTAGATTGTATCTAACTTAATGTTTAATCAACAAGTTTTAATAGTTAATAGTAATAATAGTGAAAAATAAATATAAATGTATGTGTCTTATGTATTATCTATCATGTAATATGTGACACTACTCTTGCCATTATTATATTTTTTTTATTTTATGCGAAAAGTTGTCAAACGAGCAGACGGTTCACCTGATGTTAAGTGAATACCGCCGCCCATGGACCTCTGCCACACCCGAGGGTTACGGATGCGTTGACAACCTTTTGAAAATTCGGCTCCGGCTATCTCACTCACCAGACGAAACGCGAAAGTATTTGTCATACTTCCACTTTACGCTGGTCTTCTGTGAGGTCATGGTACTTACCCGGACGAGCCTGCCCATTCGTGCAACAGCCGAGGCTGCAGCGTGGCCCTACCACCGTTAATATGCCTTTTTGACTCATAAAACGTTTTATTTCTATGGAACCTCTTTGGGTATTCTTGTATGCATAAAGGTATTGTATTACACACGCGGCGACTGTGTTTGTGTGCGTGTATAGGGATACCTAGTAATAACCGTTTACCAGGATCAGAATAAATTAAGTACATATGTTTTCTAAAAATATTGATATACGATTTTCAGAGAGATATTTAAATGCCATAGACCTTTACATGATGGGATATAATAAAATGAAACTATTAAAAAAAACGTAAACATAAAAATAAAAAATAAAACATTTATTATTAAATAAAATTATTTTTCAATTTAATAGGGAAATTGTATAATACCTATGTAGATAACAGCTCTTCTTTAATTTTTAATACATGGCGTATGCGACATTGATGAAAGAATTATTTTTCTTATATTTTTCTTAAATTGAATTTGTGAGAAGGAACCAATGTGTCCTTAGTATGATTCCTCAGCACTGCGGAATACATGGTACATGTAACCTGATTTATTGGTTAGGGACGCTATTTTGAATGATCTCCCACAAGATCATATATGTTACCTTGATCTTGCGTCTTTTTCGAGGAGGTCATATGTTTACATGGAAATCTATCTGGAAATCAACTCAATTTCTAAAGGAAAAGCATTATACTTCTTATCAGTCCTCAGTTCCTACAACGCAAATGCAAAAAAAAATCAACGTCAACTGCGTGCCGGTCAAGAATTGAAGAAGAAGAAGAGGAAGAAGGAGAAACGTTTATTCAAGGTCTAAGCACAATGGATGCACACAAAACTTAGAAAATAATGTAACTACACAGTATATAAAACAATATTGGAATAATTAAAAAAAAATGTAAATATAACAACAAAAAAGAAAAATAAATAAGTAAAGGTCTGTGTAGCAGCATTAGACCGTGAAACGAACGGGACTCAGTGAAAGTCGAGATACAGAAACTAAAATTTTTTCTGATCCCGACACCGGTTTTCAGTCTAGCGCGCACTTAGAGGTAACTCGGACGGCTGCGTCGGTGCATTTGATCACAATTGGACATGCTTCTACTGACATCCACCTTGCTAAATAAAGGGTCAAGGATAATTCTTTTTGCAAACGTGGATTAGATAAGGGATCATATATCATATATTTACGCAGATCATATATTTTTTAATGTCTAAAATTATCTTCTTCACCCATGGAGTAAGAAAGAAAATCATAGATTTGCTCCTTCCTATATTCCACGTCATATAAATTTTCATTCTGTTTTAATCTTCACAACTTTACGTTATGTATGATTTTATTACCCCAAAAATTATAAGTGCCTAATGGTTTGTCTTCATCAACTCTTCACCTAACTCATTAATTAATCTGGATTTACACCTTGCATCGTTTGTTTTAAGAGAGTCAACAGACACTGTCAAAATAGAAGTCATTAAATAAATCCTTGATTTTGATCCACACTGCTATGTTGTGCATTCCTATAATATTATCTTATCATGTTAAACTATGTTATAAAATAATTAATAATATTTGAGAATCAACAGTGCTCATTGGCGTATTCTTGAGAACCGCCAAAAATACAAAAAAGAAGAATTTAAGTGACTGGTAAAAGCGGAATCCAAATACATGATGGAATGAAATCTTCCTTGCCTTTTCTTTACTTTAGTCCTATTTACAAGATTTCACTTCACAGAACTTTACATTCAATTTTTATTTCGGACGCAACAATGTTTGTTTATAATATGCTATGTAAAATGTATTAACGGCGGCTTGCTGCAGACACATACGAGATTTCAAGTTGTTTATTAACAAAATTCGTTGTTCAGTCAACCAACTCCAAAATAAAGTGGTCTTTATTCAGGCCACTTCATCCGGACGAGTCCGCTTATTCTTGCAATTTAAACTTCACACAAACTCAGTCACAGAAGACTTCGTCGAATATGGTAAGAACAATTCGAGCAATCACAATAAAAGTACTTAACGATGGGGTGCTGATATAATAAAAAATCTAGAGTTTTGCCGGTTAATAATTTAATAATTAAACAGTAATAAAAAAGTAAACTCGAGAGGCCAGTCACCGCGTCAAAAACTAATGACTTGGTGTAACTGAGTGAGTATAGTTAACTAGGTCAGTCTTTAGTTCAATGATCATGTTCCAAGTCTCAATAAACGTTGGACCGTGAAGCATTGCGAGTTATTATTTTTCATCTGTTACAGTTGCATCCAAATAAGCTTTTAATTTCCGTTATCAAATTTCTTTCTGATTTCTTGTTATTAATTAAATACACACTTAAAATGTCAATAATTTACTAAAATTACCGGCAACGCATTTGTGAGCCCTCGGGTGTTGCAGGTGTTCATGGGCGGCGGTAATCACTTACCATCAGGTGAGCCTCCTGCTCGTTTGCCACTTTTCTCCATAAAAAGAAATACGGATTTAATGCTCTAATGGCTAAAAAGTGGATACATTGCTGGGTATCTATTTATTATTCTAATTATATTTTATTATGTATTATATGTATGTATATATTAATTTTGATATAGAAAGCCAACCAGATCAGAAAATAAATAAATATCCCCCTATAATAAAACCCTATAATAAATATCTCACATTTTACTTTAATTAAAATTTGTATGTTCATGTACGAAAAATAATAAGAGTGATAAATCACTATAAAAACTGTCCAAGTGCGAGTCAGACTCACAGTCAAAGGGTTCCGTACCATTTTCTATGAAAACGGCAAAAAAAAAATCATGTTCGTTTTATGGGAGCCCCACTTAAATATTTTTTAGTCTGTTTTTTAGTATTTGTGTTATAACGGCAACAGAAACACATCATCTATGAAAATTTCGACTGTTTTACTTTCACTATTCATCAGATACAGCCTGGTGACAGACGGACATACAGACAGATTTAGAAAAAAGCTTGTTTGTGTGTATAAACATACATTTTAATAAATATCATAATAATCAAATAATTATCAATAGAAACGTTCACATGAGGGATTGTTTTCACAGTACAAGGAAAACTTAATATCATAACATAAATAACTGTAGCGTCTTGATTATAAAGTAATTGTTAACTTTAATTGAGTACTCAATATTCATTTAAATTATTCAAGCATCTAATAGTATATAGTAAACTTATAATGTTATTCGATTTAAAAGCTTTTAAATTTGGGATAATCTGTGGGTACGATACTAATATTACCCAGAGTAGGCCTCAATATGCAAATGAGCGTAAAATCAAATTATCTCAAACGACACACAAGATACGCAATGTCGATTGGGAGAGTAAAACTAATACCCGAAACGTGTTACGAACGATTGCATTGCTGGGATTAGGAAGATCCATTTCGTGCGACGTTTCATAAATCGATTCTTGGAAAATGGCGGACTTTCTGATTGAATTCAACAAACGTTTGCTACAGTCTCTTGCTTTGGTGCTACGTCAAATTTTCAATTCAAATTTACATACAATTTTAGCGTTATGGACTCAAGAGTATAATGGACTATTGCCACAGATAACATATATAGAAACGTCAAAGACGTGTGAAATGTACCACATTTGAATTACGGGTTTGTCGTTTCACTTTTTCATCATTAGCAAGTATCTTAGCTTATCATCCCCCTACCCCTCTTATTTTATAAACCAACACAAAAATAGCTTTAAAATACTAACATAATATACCAACCTATATTCTGATGACGAAAACCTGGGAAATTTGAAAATATTTGAATTAATATATAAAACGAAAAGCCTCTATTTCGTTTTCGCTATCTACACCCTATTAGAATACTTCTGGAATGCGCGATGTTACGGCACTCCGGAATTCGATTCAATTTGTGTCACAATTTAACAAATACAAATATAGTAACGCATTAAATGCTGGATACTGGGCAAAGTACGTATTCCTTTTAATGGCAAATGTTATTTTTAAATATATGCGTATTATGTTGATAGGAATAAAAAAAAACGCTTTGGAATATGGTAACTTTTCACATAAAAGAAAAAGACATTCACCTGATTTAATTATGGTAGAGCCACGTAACAGTTCGCTCTAGGCAAATGGGCAGGTCCGTTTGGGGAAATACCATGACCTCACGGAAGACCGGCGGAAAGTGGAAGTGTTATACTTCTGCGTTACGTCTGGTGAGTGAGTTATCCGGGGTCTGCTTTATCAAAAGGTAGCAATGTATCTGCAACTCTACGGGTGTTAAAAATGTCCACGTGTAGCGGTTATCTCACTTGCCACATCTTTAAATAAAAAATGATCCACGTCCAACTTCGTCTGTTTTTTATCTTGATCGATTAAATAGTATTTATATCAAGGCTACGTTAAAATAAACAAGGCTTTCTATAAATAACTGTATATTTTCTCACTCTATATTTGAGTCCCAAAATTTCTACTTAAATAAATGTGCACCGCGTGTATCGAATTGTGTCTCTACTATAGTGGCTTAATAGTAATACATAGTATTCTGATTTTTCTTTCTATTTTTGTGCTTAAAGGGTAGTGAATGAATAACAGGAACCCGCCATGACAGTCTATTGTATCCGAAGGACAGATTATGCGATTAGATGACCTACTTTTCACGCGAACGGGCAATAAGTAATCTAGTTAGTGAAATAAAACGTTGACGATGTTTTATTAATAAAAGCTTTTATAACTGATGCAAGAATATACTTTGATGTTTAAATAAATGAAGTTTATCGCTTAAAAACCCATTTTTTATTGATACATCATTTTTATGTCAAAATAACTTTCTCAAATGTTTGTTCGGTATGGTAGCAAGTTAAGTTTTGCGTGAGATTTTTATTTGCTTCTTTCTTCCTCTCTTTTACGTCTTCCACATTTCCTTTGCAATAAAACTCTATCAAATCTTCTTATTTATATCTGTTATGGAAATTATTTTGGACAAAAAAATTTAATAAGTACTTATAAATAGGATTCTCTATGCAGAGACGAACCAAATTTGACTCATAGGCTAATCGATTGGTATCAATTAATTGTGACAGTAAGAGGCTTCTCTTAAGACATGAAGAGTACACAATTAGCGATTTTTCCATCCACAAGGTCAATGTCACCGTGCCTGGAGTGACAGAAACTTCGATTATTACGCGGCCTCGTGTAGAGCGCCGTCTCGCTCGCACCCGCGAGTGCTGTCGAAAAATTTCTGCGGCGCTGGCGGCGTCAGTGGGCGCTCGCCAGCCGGTCAAGCAGGGCGTGTCGGTCGCGTTCGTTTCCCGCCACGCTACGTTTACAATTTGTCAGCCTACAGAACTGTGGCGCACTCAATACTCGATCCTCGACCTTGCAGGCATCAGCTGACGAGGTGAGCTTCTGGAATTTTACAGAATAACAAACTCCATAATGACATGTGTAATTTGACGTTTAACACTTACACTTCACGACAGCAACGCTGCAGTGAATGACAGTCGCTCGATAATCCACTTATGTGGTATAAAATGAAACGTAAATTACGTTTTCTCTGTGGCGTTTTTATTCGAACCATCAAGTTTGTCTTAAAATTTAGTCACATTGAAAAAAATTACATATCAATCGATTTTCTGCATTGTTTTAAATGTTAATTTACGAAAACTTTCTTTATGTACATTAAACTCTCTTCTTTGTTACATGTTGATAATTAGCCTAATTACACATGTCATTAATAGTAGACACATTTTCATTAATTTACCTTATAAGTGATCCTTACGTTGTGAATGATATGAATTTTAACATACGGCAAGGATCCTATTGTTTCAGAGATTTTCCTATTACGTTCCTAAACTATATTGAATAAATACCAGATTTCACGAGTTACATAACACGCATCATATGGAGCAAAATGTAGGATATACAAAATTCGCACATAATATATCTCTTGCATTTTGATTATTATGAATTATAAGGCTTCTTTTTTGGATCATTCGCATTAATAGGCATATTGAATACAATCTTACGGTAACTGACATCGTGGCTCAATAGTAGGAGTACCTGCCGAAGGTTTAGGTTAAATCCTAGGTTTTAAGCCTAATTATAATTTGAATGGTGATGTACAAGCTGTTTTTTTTTTTCACGATTCTCATTCGCATTTAAACTTGTCAATTTTTCTTTCGTTGGATTAATATACAATATGTTTCAGTGACTACAACGGCAATGTGTGAAAATCGAGAAAAGTATTTTGACAGTAAACAGAAGATCGTGGGGTCGGCCACGATTTGCATCGATTTCATCGAAATGCCTATATTGGATATATTCTGAGAGATTAGTAGAAATAACGAGATATCCACTTTCACCATACTATCATTCTTCTCTACTTTTTCTACGTAACTGCAAAAGGGTAATAAATAAACAGTATAAATAAATTATATTTTATTATCGTATTACATAACCCTTTCTGCTTTATCAGCTGCTTTAGTTTATTTCTAAAGCATAATACTTTCCTTCACTTGGTTCAAATATGAAAATAATACTACTTATAGTCAAGTTCCCCATTATTATTTTAATTTTAGCCCACTTTATTAAAATGTGGCAACGCAACTGCAACTCTACGGCTGTTGTCATGTGAACCGCCAGCTCTCTTGCCACGTACTAACATGAAACAAATTAGAAGTTGTCTTTTTTTGCCTCTTGTTTCCAATGGAACTCTTTTCCATTGATGTGACCATCTAATGCTACGCCTTCTTTCTAAGCATTTACGATAAGCCGCGATAAATCACCCAATTGATCTCGTCAACTGACCTGTCTCTTCAACCCTTACATTTTTTTAATGTGATAAAGTGGCAAACGAGCTATCGGTTTACCTGATGTTAAGTGATAACCGCCTGCCAATGGACATTTGCAACACCCGTAGGGTTGCAGATGCGTTGCCACCTCTTAATAATGTGGGCCCCGGCTACCTCCCTCACCAGAATAAACGCAGAAGTGCAACACTTCTACTTTACGCCGTTCTTCTGTGAGGTCGTGGTACTTACCCGGACGGGCCTGCCCATTCGTGCAACAGCGAACACAGTTGCGTGGGCCTACCACCGTTACTAGTGGCACTAGCCCTTAGCGCAGCGTATAATAGTCAACCGATAATTTTTTACATATTTGCAATTTGATTAATTTACTGGTGAAATTCACGAACATGTAAAACAGTAACCACATCATAGACTGTTGAGTTTTCATATATTTTTAGTGCTAGTCGCTACACACAAGATGAAATTTAAAATGAAACTTTTGGTGCTGCGAGATTAAATATAAAATATAAATATTTTAGGACACATTTTTAAACAACGTTCTCTAGTCCCAAACTAAGCAACGCTTTACTATGGATACTAAATAACTGATAAATATAATTAAACATACTTTTCTAAACACTCAGACACTTGAAAAACACTATGTTTATCACACAATATTTTTTAAGTATTGGGGATCGCACCCACACCCTCTGGTGCAGGACGCAGGTACACTACCCACTACGCCATGCGGGTCATCGAACCTTAAATCGAACCTGTGTCTTCCGATTGGACGCTTCGCCATCTGAGCTAAGCGGCACCGCGCTTAAATCTGGACATCTATCTTAGTTCTTAGTTGCATTTTTACCGATTCTCGGCACCATCTAGTGTGAACCTTTAACAGTTTGAAATACTACCCTAGATCGCATACACTACTGTACGAAATGCTGTCTCAAATTATCTAAAGCACGTCTGCTAGCCGGTAGCTAATTTATCGTATAAACAAGGAGCATTAATTCACGTAAGCAAGTCACACATGAATCGATTAAGCAAATCTAGACTGTTTACGCATCGTTATCAATTGTACACCTGTATTATCGGTCACGATTTGTAACTGTGATTGATGACTGCGTAATGAATAGGTCAGTGGGAACATACATCAAGTGGTATATATCTACACGCATCAAGAAACAATGTAACAAGAAGTAATCACGTTTTACTACAGTTACTCAAAATTTGACAATTATTTGATTTATTAATTATTTAACTTGAACTTACAGGAAGGCTTTTTGAGCAGTGCCCAAATTTACACAGGAGGCTTAAACTCGGTAGTGTAATCGTTTATTGAAATAAAAACAAACTTTTTTTTTTTTTTTTCAAAAAAATTTTCATTCTATTCCCTAAAAAACAGAACTTGTTTACAATGCGCAGTCATTCATAAATGCGTTGTATAATTTTGAAACGAACATGTGTGCGTTTTAGTTATGAATGATTGCGCGTAAAATAAATGAGTTGCGTATAGATCACGCTCTTTTTGGGATAAGTTCAAATGAATGTAATTAATTACTTAGGAGTGATTTTAAATATTTATAATTTTTATATAACATTATTTATGTCTGGAAGTTAATAAAAAAATGGATACACTTAGAAAAGCCTTCCTGTATAATGAAGAAGTATAAGACTGGTGTTCTGTATTGCTTTATCGGTTTAGTTTTAAGCTGAAAATAAACTAGCTCAGTAACAGCTTATATTGTCATATAATCCTTACTAATATTATAAACGCGAAAGTTTGTATGTATGGATGGATGTTTGTTACACTTTTGAGCACATACTACTCAATGGATTTTAATGAAACTTTACAATAATGTAGCTTATACATCAGAAAAAGACATAGGCTATAATTTATATACATATTTTATGTATATTTGTCTTTCTGTATGGATGTTACGCCTTCAGCCTATTCTACGCAGACGTAGTCGCGGGTAGCAGCTAGTCCATACTGATAAATCGAGAGCTGGTTTTTTTGTTCGGTTATACTGCGAAAACTATTGAACCGATCGGTATAATACTTATACCATAAGATGCACCGTCTTTAGGAGAAGGTTTTGGAGAAGATATATGTTAACTGTGGTAGGGCCTCGCAATAGCCTCGGCTGTTGCACGAATGGGCAGGCCCGTCCGGGTAAGTACCACGACCTCACAGAAGACCAGCGTAAAGTGGAAGTATGACACATACTTTCGCGTTTCGTCTGGTGAGTGAGGTAGCCGGAGCCCAATTTTGAAAAAGTTGTCAACGCATCTGTAACCCTCGGGTGTGGCAGAGGTCCATGATGAAAGGTATGACCCAGCGAATCGAGCGGGGTCACCTAGTCTAATATACGTGTCATGAGTTATCTAAGTATCTCCGGAGCCCAAGAGCCAATACCAATAAAATTAATATGGGATAACATAAGAAGTACCAGCTTTCAAACAAAAGATGAATGATCAATCGGTCCACCCAGTTGAAAGTTCCAATATTGCAGTTATATTACAAAAATAAAAAAATACAGTCGAATTGAAAACCTCCTTTTGATGTCGGTTGATAAACATGACCTTTTCTTTTTAATAAATCGATTGGGGCAGTAGCGTTCAGACTTGGCACCGCAGGTCACGAGTTCGATTCCCAAAAGGGAAAAGTATTTGACTCCAAGGAGTGTTCTGGATCAGGCATGTGTTATTGTGTGCGTAAAACGTCCTTACAATATAGAATCCAGAATAAAAAATTGTAGTGTAATCCTAGAGTAAACTTTAAATAGCTGCAAGAACAAACAAAAAATAATAATAGTTTTGCGTTTATTCCACAGTAGAATGCTGAATAGATATAAATATCGTCTCAGGCTTAAAAACTGAATAATTTTCTACATTTTTATATCTATACTACAATAATATTTTTGATATTATCATATGAAGCGAACAGGAAATTGCAATTTGATAAAACTACTGAGAATAACTCATATTATTCATTGATGAACTGGACTTTGTTAACCCATTGTATACTTTATTCAACAAGAACTGTGATAGCTCAGTGTCCTGCCGCTCGCTTTTTATTCAATACGCTCGAGCCTGAGTTCGAATCCAGATTTAAAATTGCTGATTTATTCCGTTTTCAGCAGTGAAGGAAAACGTCGTAAAGAAAACTAGATGTTTTCGGAAAATATCAAAAATATCTCGAAGAAGTATGAAGTCTGCCAAATCGCAATGGGGTCGCGTGGTGTATTGTGCCCTAATACCCTCTGTGCAGAGTGGGAAGAGCAACCTGAGTTCGATCCCCGGTCCCGGCACCAATGAAATTGTTAGTCTCTTCATCATCAATTTTCACATGCTTATAAAGTAAAATACCTACCTAGCCTGTACGTCGTTATCACGTCATAACTCGCGCAATAGTTGCACTTTTTTTTTGTTGAATATAGGTTGTCTAGCCAGGACTGTAAGTTGATTAAAATACGTAAGTAACAATTTCGTGCCGCGGGCATAACTGATAAACTCAAATCTATTTTTTGTCTCATATGTGCTACTATTTCTATTCATAATAATTGTGATTAGAAAAATTTCTGTGTGTCTCACACG